ATAAGTTGAATTTCATGAATAGAATTGGAATTAATATCTCATATTCTATATTGTGATTCCATAACTTGAATTTGATTTACTTTCATGTAAAGCTAATTCATTCCACCATCATATATATGTTCACTAAACATCACATCGTGCATTGAAAATTGAAGATTTTGTGCTGGATTGCAAGCCCCGCTTCGCTCATCACTTCAAATAATTGGGCATAAGGCCTTATTAGGATGGGAGAATCAAATCAAAGTTTTTGTCATTTTTAATTGAGCCATGCTAGGGGTACACCAAAGGTGTACCCCATTTGTCCCCCACCACTCATTTTTATCTACTTTTTATTTATTTAATTTTTTTTAAAATTTTTGCCTATTTATGTGGTAATGGAGGGGGTGGGGGACAAATGGGGTACACCAAATGGTGTACCCCTAGCATTTTTCTTTTTAATTTCCGGCCCCTTGGCAAACCCAGATCTATATCTAGGACGATTTTTTTTTTAATAAATAAATTATTGAGGGCAGGGGCAAAGATGAGGACAATAATAACACACTCGTAAATCAATACTCCCTTCTATGTAGAATAGTAGATAAAGGAAAGCTCATTATTGATGGGCAAAGATAAGTTCAATATTCCCTCAATCTTAGATCACCCCTCGCCATTATCACCACCAACAACACCCTTAGCTTCCCGAGTGACTCCTCCTCCCATTAATCAAAGATAATTTATGGAAATGAGACTTAACATATTCTTTTTTTTCAAATAAGACGTACTGGTCTTAATTACTCTAACATTCAAATTTTCTCAAGATAAGACTGGCTTTAACTTTTAATTACTCTAACGTTTGACAATAGAAAGTTTTAACATATCATGCCTTTGAAAATTTGATGAAATCGCGTAAATAAACAAAAGTTATCGAGAGAAGAAAAAAATTGTAATAGAAGTGAAGACGGAAGGGGTATAATTTTAAAAGAAAGCAGGATTTTACCTCATAAATAGAAAGATTGTAATTTTAAACTGTAGTTCTCATATCTTAGTATTGATGAATATTGTGCTAAGGCTCTCCTAATTTCATAGAAATGGGCTTTCAGGCCTCTTAGAGTAGAGACGGAAGAAATATTAAACAATTTTTTTAAAAAAAATTGTAAAGTTATGTAATTTGTGGGGGGAGGGATACAAAAAGTGGGAGATGCGACGCAAGAACCGAAGAGGGAATTGAGGAGTAATGGTGTGGGTGGCGACGTGTTACCGACCGAGGAGAAGGTTGAGCTAACTAACCATGGTTAGTTGTGTGGTTACGCACAGAGCCACGAGGGAAACACATGCTCCCCCCCACGGTGCATGCATGCATGGACCTAACCCCTTTTAATTCGTAGGATGTGGCTCCAATCGGTTCACTCAATCCGGCCTTTGCTAATATATTAACCGTATCTGCCGCCCTTTGAACTCATATGAGGAAAGAATATTGAAAAAAAGCTAGGGGTAAACCTTTGGTGTACCCCATTTGTCCCCCACCTCCTCCATTACCACAAAAATGGGCGAGAAATTAAAAAAAAAAACTAAATAAATAAAAATGGGATAAAAATGAGTGGTGGAGAAAGGGGTGGAGGACAAATTTTGTTTTTCTTTAGTTTATTTCTCCCTCTCATAATTTTGTTTTTCTTTAGTTTATTTTTTTCGCCGTCTCTAATATAATATTTTGACTATTAATAATTCTATTCATATACTCCCTCCGTCCCAAATTATTTGTCACATTTCTATTACCGAGACAAAATATCAAGTTTTTTCAATTCATTTTATTTACACATTGGTAAAGAAATACGGAGTAAAAAACAAAATTACATATCAAAAAACTACATGAAAAGTTCTTCGAAATAAGAGGTGTCAAGAATATTTTATTTTATCAAATAACCAATAAAAATTAAACGTAGAAATAAATAAAAGTTCTCGCGACTGTGGAAAAAGCAAATGTGACAAATAATTTGGGACGGAGAGAGTACTTTCTTGGTCCTATATACCATTTCCTGTTTTGATTTTTGGGAAGAGAAACTGTAGAGGTTTGACCAAGGTGAAACAACAACAGTTGAAACGAATAGGGCTCGGGAAATATCAAAATGGATAGAGCATATAAGATAGTTGAAAATGTTCGGTTAGATGATCGAAGCCTCGAGAGGGACATTATACCTTATGTGGGAACCACCTCATCAAAGGGCTCCATGAGAGACCATGACAAGTAAAATGGTACTCCCTCCGTTTCTTAAAACCCTTCCTCTTTCATTTTTTTTTGTTTTTCTTAAAACACTTTCCTTTTCTATTAAAAAACCACTTTTACCCCTACTTTTTTCACACTCTACCTATCACATCAAACTTTTTTACTAATAACTAAACTATCACATCTTACTTTTACCCATCACATCAAGGACAAAATTGGAAAGTCAACTACAATTTAAAACTTTCTTATTTTCCCCCAAAGTCAAAAGAGGAACTCTTTTGAGAAACGGAGGGAGTATAATGCATAAAACCCCATGATTTTTAATACGGAGTATTTTTTTACTTTTTTAAATTAAATTAAGTGTGAAAGAGATGAAGTGCAACAATGGGAATAGAATAAATTAGAAATAAAATATAGAGAATGTTTCAAAATAAAGTTACATGTTTTTTATTTAAAAAATAAGAGTACAATGACAATAATACCAATATATAGTACCAAAAAATACAGTGAAATCTCACTATACAGAGCTATAATATCACAAAGCAAACTCAAATTTTGTAGATAAAAACATGAAAATCATATTTTGAAGATAAATGATACTCCCTCCGGTCCTAAAACCATGTGAGTTATTGATTTTTATAGATGTAAGGAAAATGTATTTTGAAATTGAATTTTTTTAAAAATATCTTTTGATGTGATGGATAAAAGTTGGTTTCGATAGATAGATTATTAGTAAAAATGTATGATGTGATAGGCAGAGTATGATAAAGTAAAGGGTAAAAATGAGTTTTTAATAAAAATAAGAAATATTTTTTTGAAATGAACGAAAAAAGGAAAAAAATTTTCAGAAAAGATAGAAGTATGTTTTACTTGCATTTGGAGTGATTTCTTGTGTAACTATATGATTTGGAGGGAGTGAAACAGGAGCGGATGGGCAAGGCGCTATGTGCATAACGGAGTTTTTTTTCTTCTGCCCTTAGCATGTGGTTTAGACAAATTTTGCGGTTTCTCGTCGATTTTCACGGCACATTACACGTTTTGTTTTGTGAAGTAAATATATTAAGTTGTATATTTATTATTCATGTGGCCAAATTTTATTTATTTATTTATTTTATTTTCGTGAATCATTTGATAAAATAATGAACTCTATCCAAATTTTTGTTTTGTAGAACTTAAGATATAGTTTTTAAATATCTCAATTTTATTTTTTAAATCCATCTAAATTGTCAAATAAATTACTCCATCTTGTAAAAATGTAAAGTCAAATATCGTAAATCAAAAATGCGATTTGAATAGGAAAGAAGGCAGTACTAAAAAGAAAAATTTGCTTCATGTATGACTAAAAGGTAGCGTGTTTCTCTAAATAAGACCAAATATGTTTTATTCCCTTTATGAAATATAATTTCATATGATCTGCCATATTCTCCCTCCGTCCCAAAAAGTCTGTCCCGTATCATTTTTTGCGTATCCCGTATGTCTCATTAGTAACAAGTGTTAGATAATGACTAATTCACTACAAAAAAAGAGGGCAGTACCGACAGATCCTTAGGGACAGAAACCTTATTTGTCACTAAAAAGAGAATATTACCGACAGATAAAATTATTTGAAGGCAAAAACTATTTGACCCACAGAAAGAGTAATATCTGTCGCTATTGGTTATAGTTTTAGCAACACACTTTTATCTGTTGGTATTGCTTATACTTTTAGCGACAAAACTTTATCTGTCAGTATTGTTTATAGTATTAGCAACAAAACATTTATCTATCGGTATTGTTTATATTATTACCAACAAAAATTTATCTGTCAGTATTACTATAGTTTTAGCAACAACATTTTATCTCTCAGTATTGATTTTATAGACATTTAATTTAAATATCTTAATTATAAAAATCCATAAAATTAGGCATCATTAAGGAAAAATGCGAAATTGAGGTCATGGAATTGGAAATGAAAATCATCAATTTGAATTTTGTTGTTTGGTCACACAAAAATATACGATATTAAAAATGAATTATAAATTTAAAAGATAAAAAACTAAAAATTAAATATTAGAAATAATTTTTTTACATTGAATATTTACAAATTAAAAATTATAATTTTTAATTTCAGATTTTTAAGTTATAAGTTAAAATTAAAAAAACTAAACTGATCGAATAGAATCAAGACATATGATAAAAGAACAAATCAACAAACTAAAAATGAGAGGGATGAAAACGCTAGTGGAGATAAGTAGAATTGTTCATATTATTGATATAGAATAATAAGGTAGAGATTCTTAATCATTTCTAATGCGGTTAAAAGATATGTCGGTCAACCGCAAATCAAAAACAAAAATCAGGGGATTGACCGTGAAACTGGAAACCAAAAACCGAAGTAACTACCATACCAAGTCTCCATAAAACTGCTCACAAGCAAGTTATTTATAGCTAAAAATTTGTAAACAAGTAGGAAAAAGACCCAAAAAAGACAAAACAACAATATTAACGGTCTAAAAAGTAGGATTTGGGATCGAAGATGGATCCCGATCGGTCAAGACCCAAAGTTATGGCCCAAACATTGTGACAACCCAAAATGCCTCAATTTCCTGCCTTGTGTTTATTTTGTGGTTCATGGTAAAAAAGTGATAAGTCTATTATTTGTACATGTGTTGTTATATTTTGTTAGACTTATTGACTTTGTTTTTATATTAAATTGCACAACCTTTGTTAATATTACTCCGTATGATTTTGGATGAATTTGTGTTTATGGTTTGATTTTAGAATCTAAATATAAGGAAAGGACTAATTAGCAAGTACATTAGCAAAATGGGGGCCAATTTACAATATTGAGAAGTTTTAATGTTGATAGACTAGGAAGGGAGATCAAGCTAAGGGAACGAGAGGCGGACGACAGATTGGAACGGAATCGAGGATTAGGGATGTGAGACACGAACGGAGCACGATGAGGCAACAGAGTAACCGGCGACGACTTTCTTCTTCGACCAGAACTGCGGGCGTTCGGCTCTCATCTTCGATCAGCATCTGGACACAGAGCAGGGCGGTGGTTGGCCTTCATCGTCCATCGGCTAGCAGCGAGGCATGGAGGTCCGATTCCGACCTCCGTGATTCCGGACGGAAATCATGCGGAGGCTTTCTCTCTGATTCGGTTTCAATTTCTTCACCTTTCTTCAATCTAATCTTTATCACTATTTTTTTTAGATTTGTTCAGTCTAATTTTGTATTCACTTGTTAGACTGCCATGGGTGCCCTTCTCTCTGATTTGGTTTCAATGTCACAATATACTAAGGAATTCTATTCATATCATGATATGTACTGTATTCACAAGTCTTTAACTTTAATTATAAGTGTCCACGATTTTTACAGACATGCCATGGCTTTTGCACATTGCTATTGTTTTGCCTTCTTTGACAAACTTATGGAGCTAGGTAGGTTTCATCAGGGATACTAATAGAGCATGTAGCATCGTCAATCGACAATCGTCATCACCTTTCATTTCTATACAAAGCAAGCTCCACAATAAAATGAATTGGATGATGATCATAGATGCCACATATGCCTTTGTGTTCCTTTAGGGACCCTGTCTAGCTACTTATAATCACTCTTTTATCTGGCATTAAGGCAATTGTTTCTCGTCTTCTTTTTCTTTTTGAGAATAGAACATGTGGCCAAAAGAGATGCCGGGCATTTTTTCTACGCGAATATCTAATTCGGTTTAAAAGGGAAATTTTCTGGAATCACTTTTTGGAAGTGAGTAATTATCGAAAAATAGTGTTCAGTAAACACGATCATCTTTTTAACAAATAGCTTTTACCTCAACTTGAAGCTCCTTACCAAAGATATGAATTGCCTCTTATCTACTCTATGAAACCAAATTAGTTAAAACCCCTGTTTGTCCCAATTTAGTGCACTTTGGATTTGGTTAGCTTCAATGAACTGTTGGCCTCACAAGCACCTTTTTCTTTCTCATTTAGTCATTTACTTGATACTTTTGTTAATCCCTTTTTTCTGTTCCAACAATGTTTATTACATATTGTAGATTTTTGTTGGTGGAATCTCCGAACTTATTTCATCTGATATGGTAAGAGAATTAATCTTAACATCGGTAAAAGGTTTATTGTAGATAATGTTTCTAGTTTCTTTTTTCATCATGCCTGAGAGCATAAATTTTATGCTGCTATTCCAGCTTATGGAGATTGCTAAATCCTTTGGACATTTGAAAGCATATCACTTTGAGTTTAGTGCAGATCTTAATGAGCCATGTGCTTTTCTTGAGGTATCATCCTATTATTCTTTCATTGGGTAAATGATTATTAATTCTGTCTTACTCCCTACTAGATTATTGTCTTGTATATACTTTGGTAATGCTCTACTTGTTTTATGGAGAGAGTTGAATAAAAGTTACCGTGGATGTCAGGCTCAGTGTCAAATGTCTGTTCCATGATCAAAACCAGGGATAGACCCAGGGCCTGGATACTACTGACAATTAGAAAGCTGGAGCCTCTCATGTGTGTGAGAAGCAAGAATTTATGTGTTTTTAATATAATTATGAACTGAAACCTAAAAGGGGAGTAAAACATATGTGTTCTTGAGCTTCAATTTTGACACGATCAATATATTCACGTTAGGCTACCACTTGGGATTAGGAGGTTTACACTGTATCTGTGGGCTCGCTTCGATCAGCATCTGGACACAGAGTAGGGCCGGTGGTTGGCCTTCATCGTTGATCGGCTAGCAGCGAGGCATGGAGGTCCGATTTTGGACGGAAATCGGACGGTGGCAATCAGTCCAGCAGCTCTCCCTACAGTGAACTCCTGTCTCCGGCGAGTTACAGTGCATGAGTGTAAGGTAAATTTAGTGCAAAACTTGTAATTACTTTATTTTGTGCTTATAATTTGTTTGCATAGGGTTCAACGACTAATGAATATGAAATTGATGACCTTACAATTGATGGTAATACAACCACTGAGCAAAGTCATAATGAGGATCGATGGAATAAAGATGATGAAGCTGAGAGCGATGAACTTGAAGATGTAGACAGTGACGAGCATTAAAGCTTTGGACTATATCTGTCATATCAATGCGTATTTTAATTTAGTTTAATTTGACTGTTTATACTTCAGCTTGAAATGTACGCAAATGATGAACTAATTTTGAGATGTTGGTTTACTTTCTAGTAAATGGGTTAGTTGTAACCCTTTGAAATGTTATCGTATCATGTATTGTTGTTAATACAAGTATGAGTATTATTTTTTATTTGTTAATGAAGTTCTTTGATATCACTTAAATAGAGCATGCTGGTGTGAAATATGGTATTAGTAACAGTTATAATAAATGTTAATTTTGGTCAAAAATAAAATATTACCGACAGAAAAAATGTTTTACTCACACAATTTTTTGTAGGTAATCCAATTTTTAGCGACAGTTATAATAAATGTTAATGTTGGTAAAAAGAAGGTATTACCGACAGAAAAGAAGGATTTACCAACACTATTTTTTGTCGGTAATCCATGTTTTAGCGACATACTCCGTATATGTTTTGTCGGTACTCCTCTCTTTTTTAGCGACATCTTTGGTCAGTTGCTATTACACTATTTTAGCGACATTATATTTTATCTGTCGGTAATACTTTTACTGACGGAGTTTTTAGCAATAGTGTAGCGACAGACAATTATCTGTCGCTAAAAGCATATAGCGACAGATATCCCAACTTTAGCGACATATTGACCCCTGTCGCTAATGCCTCCTTTTTTTTGTAGTGATTATACAAATAACTAAACGAATGTGGCGATTAGTAACAAATGTTGGATAATGAGTGACTATTTTTATGACTATTCAAATTATTTTTAATAATGTCTTATTCTATTTGAATTCTTATTTGAACCAAAATCTATATATATATATATTGGTTCTGGTGAGAATGTAATCTTAGGAGAGAAATGAGAATGAATCTGGTGCTTTAGATTGTGAGATCTAAGGGTCAAGATTTCATCAAAATTAGATGCACCAAAATGGTGCGAAAATGCATCACGTTGAAATGCATCATAAACCTTCGAAAATGCACTATCTCAAAATCTGAGCGCAGGATGTAATCTGAGCCGCACGATGCATCAGATCCGACGGCTAGATTTTATTCTCATTTCTCTCCACAAGGTGCATTCTCACGGGAACCGGCCCCTATATATATATATATATATATATATATATATATATATATATATATATATATATATATATATATATATATATATATAGGGGCCGGTTCCCGTGAGAATGCACCTTGTGGAG